AAAAAAAAAAAAAAAAAGGCAACTTACCATAAATAGAAAATCTGAACAGTACTATATATATTAAAGAAATTTAATTTGTAATTAAGATCTTCAAAGAAAGATGCATCAGGTTCAAATGGCTTTAACGGCAAATTATTCCATATATTTAATGAAGAAGAAACATCAATTCACATGAACTATTCCACAGAACAGAAAAAGAAAAACATTTCCCAATTCCTTTCATGACAATAGCAATATTCTTGATACCAAAAATCTAACAAGGACATTACAAGAAAGGTCAATTATAAACCAGTATTTCTCATAACTATGAATGTAAAAATCCTGAAGAAATATTAGCAAACTGAATCCATAAAATATTTAAAAGAACACATGACATCCAATATTGGGTTTGTTCCAGGAATGTAAAGCAGGTTTAATATTTGAAAATCAGTCGGTGTGATTAATGACATCAAGAGAATAACACAGAGAAAGCATATGATGAAACTAAAGTCCCAATCATGATTGTGGGTGGGGGGAAAGGCAACCCTTAGAAAACAAACTGTGGAAAGGGACTCATTCATATGACAATTTCTATAAAAACTTTACAGAAAAATCATCCTTAGTGTGAACATATTGAAATCCTTTTTCTTGAGATAGAGAAAGATACAAGGATGGTTATTATCTTTGCTCCTGTTCAACAGTATGCATCCTAGCTAGTACAATAAGACAAGAAAAGCAAGTTAGTGGTAGAAAGGGGCCAGGTGCTGTGGTTCATGCCTGTAATCCCAGCACTTGGACAGGCCGAGGTGGGCGGATCACCTGAGGTTGGGAGTTCAAGACCAGCCTGACCAACATGGAGAAACCCCATCTCTACTAAAAATACAAAAAATGAGTCAGGTGTGGTGACGGGTGCCTGTAATCCCAGCGACGCGGAAGCTGAGGAAGGAGAATCATTTGAACCAGGGAGGTGGAGGTTGGGGTGAGCTGAGATCACACCACTGCACTCCAGCCTCGGCAACAAGAGTGAAACTCTGTCTCAAAAAATGGTAGGAAGAAAGAAATAAAACTATATGACTTTGTATGATTGTATATGTAGAAAATTCAAAAGAATCTAGAGATAAACTATTAGATAATCATGTTCACTAGATACAAGGTCCATATAGAAATATTAATTGCACCTGGATATTAAACCATTGGGTAAAAGTTTGAAGAATAGTTACATAGTTCCAAAGTATCTTCCACAAGAGACCTACTAATTACAAAGTATAAAATGATAACTTTATAGTGGAGAAACTTGGCAGACATACCTTAACTAGATGACTGAAGTTAACATTGCCAGTAATACGACAAATCAGTATGATGAGACGCTTGATCGGAAGCACTGAGAAAAAAATCCCATCACTTTGGTGATGTTACTGCCAAAATGCATAACCTGAATCTAATATTGAGAGAACCTCAGACAAACTCAAATTGAGGTACATTCTACAAAATAGCTAAATTCCTCAAGATGCTGCAGTCATAAAAGATAAAGATTAAGGAACTAGCATTCCAGATTAAAGAGACTAAAGAAACATTAAAAACTGAATACAACAAATAATTGGGGCTGGGCATGGTGGCTTACACCTGTAATCCCAGTACTTTGGGAGGCCGAGGCGGGCGGTTCACCTGACGTCAGGAGTTCAAGACTAGCCTAGCCAACATGGTGAAACCCCATCTCTACTAGAAATACAAAAAATTAGCTGGGTGTGGTGGCACGCACCGGTAGTTCCAGCTACTCAGGAGGCGGAAGCAGGAGCATCACTTGAACTTGGGAGGTGAAGACTGCAGTAAGCCAAGATCAGGTTCACCCTCTGCCTACTGGGTTCCAGTAATTCTCCTGCCTCAGCCTGAGCACTCCAACCTGGGTGACAAGAATGAAACTCCATCTCAAAAAACAACAACAACAACAAATGATTGGGATTTATTTTTTCTTTGCTACAGTGGTCATTTTTGGGACAATAGGCAAAATTTGAATAAGGTCTGTAAATTAGCCAGACCTTATTCAAAATTCAAATAGTAGTAAAGATTTAATGTTAATTTCCTGATTCTGTGATGTGTGGTTTATGTAGGAGAAATTCTTTTTAGGAAGTATCCACTGACATATTTAGAGATAAGGTTGACTGTGTGCAACTCACTCTTAAACAGTTGAGGAAAAATATGTATATTTAAAGAGAGAGTGAAAAATATGAATAAAACAAATTAGTAAAATGTTAACGTGGGGAATCTAGGTGAAGAAAACTTAAAATATTCATAGTGGTATCCAAAAATATCAGCAAATTATGAATACATTAATATAGGGTGGTCAAGATGTAAGGTGTTCAAGATCTCTACACAGAAAGCTCTAAAACATGACTGGGAAAAATTAATGAAGGCCTGAATAAATGGAGGAATATTCCATGTTCATGGATGAGGGACTCAATTTTTTTTTTTTTTTTTTGAGATGGAGTCTCGCTCTGTTGCTCAGGCTGGAGTGCAGTGGTAGGATCTCAGTTCACTGCAGCCTCCGCCTCCTGGGTTCCAGTGATTCTCCTGCCTCAGCCTCCTAGGTAGCTGGGAACACAGACACATGCCACTGCGCCCAGCTAATTTTTGTATTTTTAGTAGAGACATGTTAGCCAGGATGGTCTTGAACTCCTGATCTCAGGTGATCTGCCCACCTCAGCCTCCCAAAGTGCTAAGATTACAGGTGTGAGCCACTGCATCTGGCCAGACTGTCTTTTAAAGTAATCAGTTGTCTCCAAATTGATCTGTACATTCAATGCAATTCCAATTAAAATTCCAGTACAATGTGTGTAGGTATCTATGAATTGATATGGTGACTTTAAACTTTTAAGTGAAATGCAAAAGTCCAAGAATAGCTAAGATTCCTTGAGGCAAAAAAATGTTGGAGGACTTACACTACTAGATTTTTTTTTTTTTTTTTTTTGAGGTGGGGTCTCACTCTGTCACCCAGGCTGGGGTGCAATGGCACAATCTTGGCTCACTGCAACCCCCACCTCCCAGGTTCAAGTGATTCTCATCCCTCAGCCTCCTGAGTAGCTGGGATTACAGGTGCCCACCACTATGCCCCGCTAATTTTTTGTACTTTTAGTAGAGACAGGATTTCGCCATGTTGGCCAGGCTGGTCTTGAACTCCTGACCTCAGGTGATCCACCTGCCTTGGTGTCCCAACGTGCCGGGATTACAGCCATGAGCCACTGTGCCTGACCTACACTACTAGATAGTAAGACTTATTACAAAGTTATAGTAATTAAGACAACTTAGAATTAGTACAACGTAAAACAAATAGATCAGTGGAACAGAATATGGTCCAGCAGCAGATTCAAACATACGTAGTCACTTTATTTATAAGGAAGGTGATACTGTAGTACAGTAAGGAAGGGATAGTCTTTTCAATAAACACATAGTTGGCTATCGATATGGAAAAAAAAAAATCTGGACCCTTCCCTTCCCAGCATATGCAAAAAAAAACAAAAACAAAACAAAACAAAACAAAAAAACACTCCAAGGGAATTATAGATCTTGATGTAAACGTCAAACAGTGGTGCTTGTCTAAGACATGACAGAAGATCCTCATGATCTGGAGGCAGGCAAAAATTTCCTCAATAGAGCATAAGTACTAACTATAAAGAAAAAGATAGATACATTTGAATACATTAAAGACTTTTGTTCATCAGATTCACCATTAAGAGTGAAAAAGCAAGCTACAGATCAGAAGAAGATACTATAATACATATAACCAACTAAACCCTTACATCCAGATTATATAGAAAACTTGTAAAAATCTGTAAGAAACAGATCACTCATAGGAAAGTGATCAGAAAGACTTTTATCAAGTACTTCAAAAATATTAAAATGGCCATTAAGTATAAAGATACTCATCTCATTTGTCATCAAGGAAATACAAAGTAAAATCACCATGAAATACTACTATACATCCACCCAAATGTCTAAAACAATGTGGAACTCATATATTTCTGTGGGAATGTAAACTAACACAGTATTTTGGAAAACTTTTAAGTATTTACAAATGCTAAATAAACACATAGTTGCACTTATACCTTAGGACCGGGGTCCCCACTCCCCAGGCTGTGGACTGGTAGATTAGGAACTGGACTGGGCTGCATGGCATGGGGTGAGCAAGCAAGCATTACTGCCTGAGCTCCACCTCCTGTCAGATTCTTATAGCAGCCTGAACCCTGTTGTGAACTGCACATGCAAGGGATCTAGGTTGCGCTCCTTATGGGAATCTAATGCCCAATGATCAAGGTGGAACAATTTCATCCAGAAACCATGCCCCACTCCCACCCCCGCAATCTGTTTGTGAAGAAATTATCTTTCATGAAACCAGTCCCTGGTGCGGAAAAGGTTAGGGACCGCTACCTTAGGGCCCACCAATTGCAATCCTAGGTATATGTCTAACAGAAATGCATATATATGGATAACAAAAGATGTGTAAAAGAATGTTCATCCCAGCAGTATTCACAATAGCTGAAAATGGAAGCACAATGTCCATCAACTGAATGAATAAATACAGTGTTATATATATAGTTACAATCCACAGTATTGTAAATGAATTAACTACAGCAGGCAAAAAAACTTGGTTCCATCTCAAAAGCATAGTGACTAAAGGAATTTGGACATGAGTATATATGATATGATTCTATTCTTATAAAATTCAGAAAAAGGTAAAACTCATCTATGCTATCAGAAATTAGGATAGTGGTTACCTTTGGGAAGGGTAAAGGTTACCTCTGGGTTACTTTTGTGAAGGGGGTAGGGATTGGAGGGACAAGGGGGTGCTGTTAATACTCTTTATCCTGCTCTGTATGACAGTTACACAGCTGTGTTCATATAGTGATGATTCATACAGCTTTATCCTCATAGCACATTTTTCTGTATATGTGTTCGTGGTAAGCAGTCTCTGAGATGGCCTCCAACGATCCCATCCTCTTGCTATTTATGTCTTTGTATAATCCTCTCGCCTTGAACATGGGTTAGATTTGTTGACTCAATTCAAATGAATATAATACAGCAGAAGACATGGAATATCACTTACAAGACTGGGTTATGAAAAGATTATGGTGGCTGGGCACAGTGGCTTATATCTATAATCCCAGCACTTTGGGAAGCCAAGGTGTAAGTATTTCTTGAGCCTGGGAGTTTGAGACCAGCTGGGCAATATAGTGAGACCCCACCTCTACAGAAAATCCAAAAATTAGCCAGTCATGCTGGCACACACCTGTAGTCCTAGTTACTTGGGAGTCTGAGGTAAGAGGATCACTTGAGTCCAGGAGGTCAAGGCTGCAGTGAGCCATGATCACACACTACTGCACTCCAGCCTGGGTGATAGAGCAAGACGCTGTCTCTAAAACAAGAAAAGAATAAATAAAAAGACTGTGGCTTCGATCCTTGGTGCCTGTCTCACTGACTCTTGGCTGACTCGCCCTGGGTTAAGCCAGTCATTGTGTCATGAGACAGTCTTAACGAGACGGCCACATGTTGAAGAACTTAGGACCACCAGTAGCCATGTGAGCAAATTTGGCAGCGGATCTCTCCTCTACCCATAATCGAACCTTCAGCTGAAACTGTAGCCCCTGCTAAGAGCTTGACTACAATTCATGAGAGACCTTGAGCCAGAGGCACCTAGCTAAGCAACATCTAGGTTCTGGATTCACAGGAACTAAGAAATGGTAAATATTCATAGTTTTTGTTTTTGTTTTTTTTTCGAGACGGAGTTTCACTCATGTTACCCAGGCTGGAGTGCAATGGCACGATCTCGGCTCACCGCAACCTCCACCTCCTGGGTTCAGGCAATTCTCCTGCCTCAGCCTCCTGAGTAGCTGGGATTACAGGCACGCACCACCATGCCCAGCTAATTTTTTGTATTTTTAGTAGAGACGGGGTTTCACCATGTTGACCAGGATGGTCTCGATCTCTTGACCTCGTGATCCACCCGCCTCGGCCTCCCAAAGTGCTGGGATTACAGGCTTGAGCCACTGCGCCCGGCCCATAGTTTTAAGTTAACAAGTTTTGGGGTAATTTGTTATACAGCAGTAGTTTTACAATAATCTTTATGTTAATATATGTTTATAGTATTAATAGATTATATAATCTTTATATATAGTATATTGAGCTTTATCAATAGTTATCTTTCAAAATGTGTAAATCCATATTCAGTTGGTGAAACCGTAAAGTATTTTTATAGTGGCTTTTGATGCAAAGCACGAACAAAGCCATATGCCAATAGTGGATTTTCAGCAAGCTCCAAATGTGAATCATTATTCTATTTTTGTTTTTCAGCTTTGTTACTTTGAGTTTGTCTCTGATGATTGATCGTATTTTTTTTGGCCAAGTAAGTAAAAGTATATTAAGCTAATAGCTATTTTTATTTTTAATCCATTAATACTTTGGAACAGAGGCAAACAATTTTTTTAATGATATGGGAAACATTACAAAGGACTTCTAGGAATATCTGAATAAGCCTTTGGTTCAATTGGTTGTGTTTTCTACATGAAAGAATTAATATTTCTAGTTGAGATTCAGGAGAGTACATTTTAAGGCAGGGAATTATTAAGTGAGCACTTAATGTTACCTGTTGCTGTTTCTGTCATTATTGTCAGCTTTGTGCTGTAATTCAAATTGTAACATTTTCAAACCTTTATCTTAGTAGGTAATATCTGACATTGTAAGGTATTACACAGTCAGAAAAAATTGTCTAGCATCCTCCTTACCTCTAACTGGATATAAAACTTGCGTGGGGCTAGAGGCCATTATTCTAAGTGAAGTAACTCAGGAATGGAAAACCAAATATTATATGTTCTTACAAGTGGGAGCCAAGCCGTGAGGATGCAAAGACATAGAATCATATAATGGACTCTGGGAACTTGGGGTGGGGAAGGGTGAGAAATAAGAGACTACATATTGGGTACAGTGTACATTGCTTGGGTGATGGGTGCACCAAAATCCCAGAAATCACCTCTAAAGAACTTATTCATGTAACCAGAAGCCATCTGTACCCCAAAAATTATTGAAATAAAAAAACAAACTTAGATTGCCAAAATACATATGAAAGTTCATTCATAATTTTTGAGATTCACTTTGAGATTCACATTCAAGGTGAATCTCAAAAATCTAGTTTTACAAATTAACAAAAAACATATTAATACTTAAAGAAGAAAAAATAACAGTTAAGGATTTCATACAGTCAATCAAAATTATTGATGTAAACTACTGTCTGGTTTTTAGACTTCAATTCTGATTTAATGTCAAGATTATGTCAGTCCCCTTAATGCCAAAGATTACTGCTTGGCACTAACACATTTCTATTTCTTTTTCCTTCAACTATGCCAGTGGACTCTGGTTCAATTTAATTTTTTGAAATTTAACGTGCTGCAGAACTTGGGAACATTTTATGGTTCTCATCCATGGCACTGGTACTTCAGTCAAGGATTTCCAGTTATCTTGGGTACTCACCTACCCTTCTTTATTCATGGCTGCTTTCTAGCACCGAAGAGATACCGGATACTGTTGATGACTGTGCTGTGGACACTGCTTGTTTATAGGTAAGATTTTATTTGTTCAAAAGGCTAAAATTTTTATGATACCAGGAAATCAAATTAACTAAATTCTTCAAAAAGTAAACTGTTTACTTTTTTGGAGGTACCATTAACTTTTGTTAGTGAGGATTATCTTAGAAGATACAAGTAGTAGTAATTATGGAGGCATTCAGAGTGAATAGATATGTAGTTTGCTTAACTACATATCTAAAGGATTATACTCAATGTTTAAGAACTTGGAATAATTTTATTTGCTAAAAAAAACAAAAAAACAGACCAGGCACAGTTGCTCATTCCTGTAATCTCAATACTTTGGGAGGCCAAGATGGGAGAATTGCTTGAAGCCAGGAGTTCATGACGAGCCTGAGCAACATAGCAAGACCCTCTCTCTGAAAACAATTTAAAGTTACGAGGGCATGTTGTCATGTGCCTATAGTCCTAGCTTTTGAGAAACTGAGGCAGAAGGACTGCCTGAGCCCAGGAGATTGCAGTGAGCTATGATTGTGCTACTGCACTCCAGCCTGGGTGACAAAACAAGACCCTGTCTCAATCAATCAATCAATCAATCAATCAATACCACCAAAATTTTAAATTGAAAGACCACAGAAATACATTCTAAAATAAAAATGTATGTATCTATATTCCAATTTTGACTAATTTTATGTACTTGGATTGGAAATAGAAATCCCATTTTTAGAATGTAACTGTACTTTGTAATTTCAAATTGACATCATATTTTATCATTAGTTTTACCATATCCTAATCACCTTATAACTAAAAAATGAGACTAATTCCTGAAGGAAGAAAGGAAGAAATTCAGTCTGAATACTGAGAAAATAAATAGATCCAGTCCGGGTGCAGTGGCTCACGCCTATAATCCCAGCACTTTGGGAGGCCAAGGTGGGCAGATCAAAAGGTCAAGAGATCGAGACCATCATGGCCCATATGGAGAAACCCCATCTCTACTAAAAATGCAAAAATTAGCTGGGCGTGGTGGTGTGCACCTGTAGTCCCAGCTACTCAGGAGGCTGAGGCAAGAGAATAGCTTGAGCCCAGAAGGCGGAGGTTGCAGTGAGCCGAAATTTTTTTGCTCTGTCGCCACTGCACTCCAGCCTGGTGACAGAGCAAGACTCTGTCTCAAAAAATAAATAAATAGATCATGTTAATTATATTTTACATTAAATACATTAATTTCTCAATCTATCATATAATTAATAGTTTCTTATCTCTTTTTATTATAGCATGTTGAGCCACAAAGAATTCAGGTTTATTTATCCAGTTTTACCATTTTGTATGGTGTTCTGTGGTAAGTGCTTTTGTCTTATATAGAAAATTATATAGAAATAGTTCAAAGACAACACATCCTCATTAAACTCTATTTATATTTTCAACTAGCTTACTAAAGAATTACTTCTTAATTACAAATTAATTGTATTATTGCAATATTCCCTTTTTGTAGTCCAAATATATTTTTTCCTGTATCCTCTAAAGTGAGATAAAAACATAAAGATCCTAGCCCATTGCAGTGGTGTGCACTTATAGTCCCAGCTACTCAGAAGCCTGAGACAGGAGGATCACCTGAGCCCAGGAGTTTTGAGACCACCATGGGCAAGTCCTTCTCTCAAAAAACAAACAAAAAACCCACATAAATATCCAAAACCCAAAGCAGTTTTTGGTGGTGGTGTTTCTATTTGGTGGTGGTGTTTCTAACTAAAAAGTAAAGGAACATATCTGTTTTAGATGAACTATTTTAAGTTTATGGTTAAAGTGTAAGGGTCTTCATTTTCACAAAGGAAAATGTATTTATTGCTGTTGAAACTAGTTTTTAATGCTTTTACACACAAAACATTTACCCTTTTAAAACTCACTGTCAGGTATATACAATTTTTTAAGTAATTAACTCCTGATTTTATTTCAGGACTTTTGTCCATTTTTCCACAGTCTTAACATGTACTTTTTTGTCACTTACAAAAATATGACTCAGTTCAGGAAAACCTGGATTTTTACATTGGTTGGTTTGGAAAAATTATGAATTGAAACTTTATTAACTTCAAGTTTAATTCGGAATAAATGACTGTTGGCTTCCTTCAAATACTAAGACCTTAAAAAAAAATCACTGCGTTGAGAGAGAAGAAATAACTAGCCAAGTGGAACTGGAGTCTGGAAAAAACCTAGGGAGTTACTGTTCTCAAACTTATTTTTACTTAAAAAAAAAAAAAAAACATTGAGTTAGACATCGTTTGACCAACTATAAATCAACTCCTACAGATCTGAGATGTATATCTCTTCAATTTAAGAAGACAAACATACAAACATAAAATCAAATATAACAATCTGTATATTTGACACATCTGAAGTTCTGAAACCAAAGCCTCAGTCTGTCATTACTTTATAGTCTAACCACATACAAATGCGGGCACATACAAAAATATAGACATCTAACAGTTATTTGGCAAGCCGTAAGAATAGCTTGCCCCATTTGCCAGAGGAAATCTGTTCTTAAGTCACTGTTCAGAAGTTAAAGTGGTTTCTGTTTTGTTGGGTTTTTTTGTTTTTTGTTTTACAGCCACTTGAGTGTGTATTATAATTAAATCAAACATTGCCAGAGTACAGAGACAAATGTTTGTGTGTGCCTGGAGGGGACAGGGAGGTTGGTTAATTGAGTAACTTGGTTTGATTTGTTTTCGTAAACCAGATTTTTCTAGCCTTCTTCTTCTGTGTTCTGTTTCTTTACCAAGTATTTACACATAGATTTGAGTTGTCTGAATCCTCATTACAAGTCTAAAAGATTGAATCTTTAAGTAGCAAGATCCCTGTTACCAGGGCCTATTCCCAGTTTATTGAGATACAATGCTGATGAGGTGTGAAGAGATCCCCTTCTAATAGGTGAGAATCACTCCTTCTCCCATCCTCTACCTACTTAGAGAGATCCCTAAAAGACAGCAGCCTAGAAAACCCCTTCATTTCCTCACGTTGGATTTTTTTCCTTCACACCCTACCTAAGGTTCTAGAGTAGGTCAAAAAAGTCTGATTCCTAGGAGATTTGTACTTCCACTAAGAGTCAGAGCTCTTTAATGCCAAGAGGTTCCAACAGTAGGATCAATTCTGTCTACATGTCTCACCAAGACAGAAATCTTTGGACATGTAGAACAATTCTTTTTGGAGCTCTTGATGTTTTAGTGACCCAGTTTCAATCTTTCCTAACTACTTGAAATCTTGATTTATACCACAAATTTTAGCCTTATCCTGCTTTTGTGTGACTTGTTTTAACCTCAAAACTGTAGTGGCTTAAAACTCCATTTATTATTATTTACAGGTCTACATTTTAACTGGACAGTTCTCATCTCCACTGAGAACAAATGTGATCAGCTGCAGATTGGGTAGATAGCTCTATTGATCTAGGCTGGGCTCTTACCTCTAGGGTTCAACTAGCTATAGGCCAAGTCTTCTCAGCTCTTCTTCCTTTCCTCTTCCTCCAACAGGCTAGCTAGGGCTTGTTCACTTGGTGTAGGCCAGGTTTCAGGAGAGGGAGCAAATATGCCAAGCCCTTTGAGATAAAGGCTTGGCATTTATATGCTGTCACTTCCACCACATTCTTTTCATCAAAGCAAGTCACTGGGCCATGCCAGATTCAAGAGGTAGGGAAATAAATGCCAGCCTCATAGTAGGAAGGGACAAAAGAAGAAAAATAATTGCATTTGTATTTTCAATCTACAGTAACTTCTATTGCCTAATTTGAATTTCCCTTAGTCCTATAAAATAGGACTCAACTCTAGAAAACATATTTTGTGACTGGCTCTGATCTTTAGTGAATTAACAATGTCTCAGTTTCCTTACCTGTAAAAGAAATGTGATATTTTAGCAACACTAATTCAATTCTTAGATTGAATCTCTCATTTGTACTAATAGAGTTCAGCACCCACTACTGATTCTGAGTTGAGTGTCTGCTTAGTCTGTTTTTACCACAGTGGCCAATATAGATTTTTCTCTTACTGGGCCACTTTGTTTTTCCATATTCTAATCTTGTTATTCTTTTTTTTTTTTTTTTTTTTTTTTTTTTTTT